TTGTAGGAAACGCGCACCTGACATTCGAAGAGTATAGCACAGTATTAGCGCAAATAGAAGCTGTTTTAAACTCTCGACCTTTGTCCCCTCTTTCCTCTGATCCACAGGATTTTTCACCGCTTACTCCAAGCCATTTCCTGATTGGTCGACCACTTACTGCTCCAGTCTGCGATGACGTACGCGATGTACCAATTAACCGTCTACAGCGATACCAGAGGTTGGAACTACTTCGTCAACAGTTTTGGAATCGATGGACTAAAGAATATATTTCTGAGCTGCAGGTGCGAGCGAAGTGGACCGTCAATAAAGATGAGTTGAAGCCCAATTCGTTAGTGGTGATAAAGGACAACAATCTTCCTCCGCTGAAGTGGCGCTTGGGACGTGTGGTTCGCACAATGCCAGGTTCAGACGGCATTTCCCGAGTGGCTGACATACGGACGGCAGCGGGTGGGGTGAGACGCACCTTTTCGAAAATTTGTCCTCTCTTCCAAGATGTGGATGAAACGCAAGAACATTGAAAGCCACTGCTTCCAAGGCCGGGGGCATGTTCGAGATCGTACTCGTACCTATTAGTGATGGACGCGTAGGGGACGATGATATGCAAATTTTCAGTAACGCGATTGGTCGTCCATATTGTTCCCCTTACCCCCCAATCCTCGATTCGTGTAACACACACCATTTCATTCATGTAAAAAAGTTTGAACAATAAACACCTAACATTATAACGAGAAAAAATACGCCACAGACAAAACAGTTTTATTTCTCAAAAACCTGAATTCACCAAGCCTCTCAACCAGCAAATAAAATCGCAAGCCGCACCAAAGTTCCTTATCGCGCGTTGTGAAAGGGGGCTAGACGGAAAAAATTCTTACGAAAAGTTGTCACGACACTTTTTAGATTGGTCCGCGTAATGAGTACAGTTTCTCGAGATAGCGTTTCAACAATAGTAATTTAGTTCATAGTATTGTTTTTTTCTTCTTCATAATGCCGTAATATATTATTATAACTTTAATTTTCCATCCGGGTGTCCCCTGACACCTCTGAAGTTTTTATAATCTGAATCTCGGAAACGGCTCCAACGATTTTCATAAAATTTACTATACAGAGGATTTCGGGGGCGATAAATCGATCTAGCTACGATTTATTTTCAGAAAATGTTGTGTTATTCGTGTTTTCAATAATCAACTCTTCCCGACATCTATTGACGAATAATAATACTATTTTTCTTAATTGAGGGCAACTAATCGCTTTAAAGACAAAACAAGATGGCGTTATCAAAAAAAAAACGAGCAAAGCTCGGTCATCGTCTAGTAATTTTTTAATGTGTAGAACATAATGTTCATTAACTTTATTGAAAATATATTATAATTTATAATTCAAATCGAATGCACTGTTTTCAGAGTTTTATCGGTAAGCTGGAAATCCCGTTCACACTTCACCATGATGTTTTTTAAATATATTTGTTCTTAAATATAAATATACTTACCAGTAAGCAGACGGCACACGAGCATGACCTCAAGTATCAGATATGTAATGTAGTATGTGTATCAGTCGTGATATTAACATTTTAAATACAGAAGGACTGTACCTAAACAATTATTTGTTAACTTTTCTCCCTTTATGATCATTAACATTAATGTACTTGATTCGGATGAAACATTCGGATAAAATGTTTTTCTTAATTTTAATTTGGCTCAGACAGGGCTTAGTTAACTGGGCTTAGTGACAGTGTTTGTTTTTATTACGAGAGTAGGTTATTTTTAAAATTTCAAAACCTTTATTATTGAAGTTATACTTCTTGAGGCGCGTTATGAAAAATTGATGTGAGTGAAATTTTACGATGCGCGCGCACCGTGACACAAAATTAACAGAATGAAGTTGCCCACTAAATCGCTCATTACAATACGACCGACGTAACTTGGCGAGTCTGAATATAGCCGCAGGTGAACTTTCCGAACCGTACCGAGAATTACCGAAATTATACAATGTCAAGAAAAGGGAAGTCCAATATGCGTGTTTGAGGATGTTGTTTAATCGTTTTTTTTTTCAAATTGATTAAAATTTAAATAATTAAAAAATAAATAAATTTAATAAAAATAAAGTATAACTTCTTACGCGTGTACATAATAAGTACACGCACCCTTTTTTATGAAATTGTTGTATGTATTTTCGTGAGACGTTTACACTAAAAGACGTAGGCGTATACTAAAAGACGTAGACTGAATGGTTAGGCGAGAATGAGAAGTTCCTATATAAATGCCGTTCTAGTTTTATTGCCTTCCGACAAAACTAATGCTCAGATATCCTGAATGACCTACAATGCTTCCAGGTCATTATGTCCGGGAGCGTGTGAAACATTTAGATAAGCGGGAAAACCTTTTCATTGGATATTTATTTTGTCATTCTTGAGTTATTTTATGAGCGACAATAACCACTTAAAATCGAGAGGTCCTCGTTTGACCATCTTCGATACATTAAAATTATTACTACTAGACACAATTCAATTTTCAGGTCATTCATCCTCGCACGCGGGGATCACCGCTTTGTTTGTCTCTATCTCGAAGGAATGTTTCGTTCCGTTTCAAGGGGGAGGGGAGGGAAGATTTTAAGCATTGAGATATTGACTTCATATCTCAAGTAGACTTCGCGTTGTGACAATAAAATTCAAGACCATATTTCACTCGTACATTCAACTTAACTCTGTAATCATCACCTTAGTAAGCATGGTTGAGTTGTTGATATAGGTACTAGGTAAACCTTTTATTTCTGAGATCGTTCAGCAGGATAACAAAACTTTGGTACAGAATACGAGCTGGCTTCCGCAACTTGACGACGATATCCTATCTTGCGTGTAGAAAAACTTTACTGTGGCTATACTTATACATCCATGTATGTCCTGACTATTGTATACTAACTCGCAGACTCGGACAAACAGCGGTGAAACTTTGAGTTAATTAATTGTGTCGACGGACACAATTATTAACAAGTATCCAGTTTAGTATCTACTAAAAATCTGCCCTCTTAATAGTAAAAGTAGTATGTACTTGCAACATGGCGGCTTGGAGAAAAGCGCGGTAAAAATATTTTTAGATGTCTTAACAACATGTCCACTTTATATAACTTTTTAAGTGTATCTAAAAACTAGTAAATGAATACTACAGTACCTAATAGTGTTGATTGCATATTCTTTCTTCTAGCACATTTTTTATTCTGTGGATTTTAATTAGCAAATGCAATATTTTCAAGCAGCAAGCGTTTCTTGTTAAATTAAAAATATGCCTATAGTAAAAAATGACATTAGTTAATTTTTTTATGCATATATTAGCGAATTGGGATATCATAGCTAAAAGGAATGTCTATTACTTCAAATACAATTAGTAGGACTGAATGAGCGTCCAACAAACTGAGGTCTTAAATAATTTTCAGAAACAACAATTACTAAGCAGCTAACAAATCGTTGTACATTACATTAATGGTAGCGTAAAGATCCATTAACGGCGACATAATCCTTGATAAACGACTCCTAATTTAAGCTTGCTTGTGAATCCGAAAAAACAAATATGCATTGGAGAAATCGTATCTATGAATTGATTCGACTGAAACTGGATGTTTTTCAAGGAATGGCGGCGAAAAGCATGTGAACGAATCACGTTGTCTATTTATTTTATTTTAATCATTTTTACGCAGTCATTTTATTGATTATGAATTAACATAAAAACGAAATAAGGGCATGAAGCAAATGTTGAGTGCGACTGTAAATAGTTCTATTTTATGGTCATTTAGAGGTTAGGTTTTGAAAACGTTTATTATTTATCTACGAGTAGGTTTTATTTAAGTTTTTTTAACCATCAATAATTAATAATACATCAATGAAATATATTCTATCTTATATATATATATCGATCTTTTTTAATAAAAATCAAGTTATTATCTTTGAGAAAACAAAACCACAAATGACTTTTGTCTGTATATAATTTAAAAATTCTATCTAAATAGATTTCAATAAAATTTTCAGCGTCAATAAGAAAATTTTCAATAATTCACAACAACATTTAAAACATATTTAGTACTGCAGTAACATTTATTTGCCAAAGTCGCTAAACCTGGTTGCTAATAAATTGTTTTATTTATTTATATGAAATTTATTATTATTTATAATATTTATTTTATTTATTTATAATAGTGCGTTCGAATCCCGCAGGCGGGTACCAATTTTTCTAATGAATTACGTACTTAACAAATGTTCACGATTGATTTCCACGGTGAAGGAATAACAACGTGTAATAAATAATAAATAAATATTTACTAACAACCACGCCACGGTAACTGGTCCCGTGATAAGTTCGTAAAGAACTTGTGTTACAGGTACCAGATAACGGAAATAAATGTAAGATTTTTATTATACACATACATATATTTAATAGACATCCATAACCCTGGAAAAGACATTTATGTTTATCATACAAATATCTTCCCTTGGCGGGATTCGAACCCGCGACCCCCTTGTGTAGTGACCATATTACTTACCACTACACCAGACAGCCGTTTAATAAAAATCAAACCCGCAAAATTATAATTTGCGTAAGGAGTAGGTACCACCACCCTGCCTATTTCTGCCGTGAAGCAGTAATGCGTTTCGGTTTGAAGGGGCAGCCGTTATAACTATACTGAGACCTTAGAACTCAAATCTCAAGGAGGGTGGCGCATTTACGTTGTAGATGTCCATGGGCTCCAGTAACCAGTAAGCAATAAGAAAAATAATAATAATACAATTACACAATTTAGATACGGTACGCAAGGTTTCAATTTTCAAGACACTAAAATGATAATAATATGGAACAAGTGTATCTGTCGTGTCTCAGTGTATTATTTTTCATTGTTGAGTATTAAATATTCTATAGAACAGTGTGATCTGTGAGTGTGGTGCAATGGACTCTGATTTGGACATTCAGTCTTTCATAAACTGTACCCAGCAGATATTCGGCCATGAGCAAAAATGGGACGACCTAAACGTTTCCGAGATCTTAGATCTGCTCCCGAAGCAGATCTTAGAGGACATAAACCTAAAGTAAGTGTCTGCTATATTTTTCCTTTTCCTTACGTTAAATTTACGATTCAATTTATGTATATATCAAGGAGTTAACGGCTATTTGGTTTAAGCGACATTTCCCTTAATACGCGACATTTATCTTTGTAATTAAAGGTGCGTTTTATTTGGTACTATCGACCCGCCCTCGTTTCGCTTCGGAAACTGTAATTTATTATTAATTTCTCCACTATTTAATGGATGTTATTATAAATATGAACCTTCCTCTTCAATCACTCTATCTATTGAAAAAAACCGCATCAAAATCCGTTGCGTAGTTTTAAAGATTTAAGCATACATAGGGACAGACAGATATAGGGACAAAGAAAGAGACTTTGTTTTATACTATGTAGTGATTACACATCAACAGTTCGATGTTTTTGATTGAACTTCTATTAATTTTACTCTATACAAATAGCTGAAGAAGTTTTTTCGTTATGATATTTTCTCCAAATTTTAAACTTTAAGTGGCTCTCCTGTAAAGTTGCAAAAATGTCGCTTTAACCAAATAATTAGCTTTTCATACTTCGATATGTAAACATACTTACTAGTTAATGGATTCTATTGTATAGCGTATTGTGAGTTTGAATAGGTGGGCATCACAACCCTACCAATTTCTGCCGCTAAGTAGTAGTATTTAATCAGCATATACAAAAAAATCGAGACTTCAATAATTATGATCAAGATGTGTGACTCAATTTACTTTGTGGTATCTTTGTTAATCAGTAAAAACTAGATGAATCCTGTACTCGTCTGGAGCAATAAAAAATGAAGAACAATTTATTTTAAGGCCTTCCTATGTGGAATTTTCATCAGTAAATAAAGGAAAGGTGTATGTATTATATATAACCAGAAGACCAACATTAAAATCAGATAAATGAATTAAAATATTCCTATTGTAAATATTTTAAAATTAATATCGAGATTTTTTTAAATAAAAACCACACTTATAGGAGGTTTGATGGTTGAAACTTACAAATTATCACAATTAAAATTATTAAATCGTCTTCGTTCTCGCTGTTCAACTTTTTTTATTTTTTATTGCTTAGATGGGTGGACGAGCTCACAGCCCACCTGGTGTTAAGTGGTTACTGGAGCCCATAGACATCCACAACGTAAATGCGCCACCCACCTTGAGATACAAGTTCTAAGGTCTCAAGTATAGTAACGACGGCTGCCCCACCCTTCAAACCGAAACGCATTACTGCTTCACTTCAGAAATAGGCGGGGCGGTGGTACCCACCCGCGCGGACTCACAAGTAAAAAATTATCTTTCCACCAGTAAAAAATTATCTTTTATAAAATAACGTTGATGTTGTCAGGAAATATTTGCCAGAAATTTGTATACCTACTTTAAATAGAACAGGATAAAGTAGGACAAATGAAATCGAAACCCTTCCAAATACACCAAACCAAAACATTCCGTTATGAACTTGGAAATTTCGCTGGTATCTAGAAAGTTTGTCTTTAATATCGCATTTCTCTTCAAACACCTTTTCTCTGTCTTCATTAAAGTCTATAGCATCGTAAACAAACGAAACTGGGCGTAGGTCGGTGAACTTTTTCTCGCCCTTTTTACGCCACAATAAACTTGCTTTTAAATACAAGACCTACAATATATATTAGGCCCGCAATAAATACTAGAATCGTTTTTTGTTCGTGTTAAATTATTAAAACCAATCTTCAGGCCGGCGGAGTAATGACCTCAAGCATTCATTTCACAGTTCATCTCCCTTAGAATGCGTTGGTCCTTTTTAATCGATCGACTTAAATATTTAGGCAGAATCTAAAGTGCCAATTAAAATTTCGGTTCTAATAAGTTCGTTAGTGACTTTATAAAGATATAATAATTGTAAAACGAGGCCAATTACCCTTTTTCTAATTTAGTTGTCCAATTAAAGGCAATTTTCTCAATTGGCTTATGTTCGAAATAAAATAATACATACTAATGAATGTGATTTTAATAAAATTAGTATGTAGAACTAATGCTTTGGCTAAAATCATCTCTCTTTTGACTAACGTGATATCGTATTTGTTAACTAATAAGTTTAATTAATGTAAAGAGGAGATTTCACTAGTAAAAAGCATTGAATCTAATATATAAAATTCTCGTGTCACAATGTTCGTTCCCATACTCCTCCGAAACCGCTTGACCGATTCTCATGAAATTTTTTATGCATATTCAGTAAGCCTGAGAATCGGCTACTATCTATTTTTCATACCCCTAAGTGATTAGGGTTGTCCACCCCTAACAAATTTTTTTTTATTTGGACATTTTTTTTGTTATAATGAGGTATTATGTGGTTGAATGAGGTTTTGTTATTTTTATTATATATTCCCTCATCGTTCACAGCACTACATACCTCTTTTACTCATTTACCACATCCTTACACACTTACAATAAGTTAGATTTTTTTTCTACACTAGAAATTCCCTAGAAATCTTATATATGGCAAAACAATGTTTGCCGGGTCAGCTAGTATTAAATAAAACTAGAGGCCCCGCAGTAGTCGAAATTCGACTATAATTAGTTGGAATTGTAAGTTTGTACATTATTATGACTGTGATTTATACTTCTATAATCACAAATTTCGCCAAGGCTACACTATAAAAAAAAAAAATAAAGACAAACAATATTTAATATATTCTCAATTTAACCACAGACGTCAAGAACAAAAGTTTGACAATAAATAGTATGCATGCGTGTGTGCGTCAAATACATGGTATGTAGTGTGTGTAATGTTTTTTTTATTGATTTAATGTATCTTATAAGCACTATTTAAAAAAAATATTAGCATTGTGCACTTCTCTATATTCTGTATAAGTGGAAAATTTCATATTCCTCCGTCCGCGCAAATTTCGTAAAAAGATACAAAAGGATACAAAGTTTTTGCTTCACGTATTAATATATAGATCTTTTATAAATGTGCTGAAAACGATTACGGTTTTAGCAGTTATCACTTCTGCCTCTTCCTCATAAATATTTTAAAACAGGAAATGTGGTTACTTTACACAAAATACTATAAAAAAATTGTGGAATGTGAAAGAAGGTTACTTGAAGGACGACGGGTCACATTAGAGTGTGACAAATGTTACTCGTATCCTGGCTCTGTAATAGGGTCCATGGAATTGGTGACACATATTGTAAAGGCAATAGTTTTTGGTGACTAGTCGATTCCATATTGATTCAACTAAAAGTCCTCTTTTGAAAAAACGATGGATTGGCCAAATTCTGTTTACGCATTTGACACTTTTCCGTTTGCGAGAAATCAGATTAAACTTTTCGCAAACTCAATCAGGAAACGTCAACTAATTCTTTTCTTGTTCTTGTTTCTTCCATAATTGACGATATCGGTATCAAAAAACTTTTAAATTGCATTAAGAAATTTGAAATCTGCAACTTGTAAATTGGAGTTTTAACTGTCCTGTTTGTTTTGATAAGAGTTTTTTGTTATGCTTTTAATCGATGTCAATATTACGCAAAATACATTAATATAAATACTACGCAAATACATTTCATATTTGCAGGATATTCCAATATGTTTTTGTAACAATGAAATCGCAAGAAGCTACATCAAAACCTAATATAAATTCCAGAAATATATTTTCCTCTATAAATGTTTCAGTAACATGTTCGTGAGAAACATTTCTTTTATACATTGCTACTAAAATAAATCAAGACAACACAGTGAAAAAGAATGTTTCTAGCACTAGTTAGTCGATAGCATTCAAATTTGACTGTTTATCCTTCAGCATTTGATAATCTTATTATTTTGAAGCTAAATGACGATTTTACGCATAAATAAGATTAGAATAGACGAAACAATTTCTTTGATATTAGATTAATAATAAAATGTAATTTCACAGTCTAACAAAACCAATTAACTGTTTTTATTTTATCTTCAGAGTATTTTCTCGAACTATCTTAATGGATAGGACAATGGAACTTTTTTTATGACAATGGAACTTTTTTATGTGGCCTCACAATTTGAGCCATCAGAAGTATCAATATCTTGCAAAAAAAAATTTATTTCATCTTCACCATAAGGGGCTACTCCAGCCACACTGCTACTGGTAGGTGAGCTCACGGGGCTCAACCCGAGAGAATGTGCTAACACTGGCCCTAGCAAGAACAGTGCTTCGCGGAATCTAACACTGAATCGGAATCGCGACCCACTGAAGAGGTTCGGCGAGAAGCTCAGTGGGTTATGCCTATGGTATTATTAAATGCGAAAACGAATTTTTCGTTACGCTTTCAGATCTTAATCACTCGTCATTAAGTTTAGTGTCCACTTTGTTAAGGGTACTGAAAATAACATAGGGTACCACCACCATTATAAAATAAAATAAACTGTTGCCGTGGAATTGAAATTTTTTTTTCATAGATTAACGCAAACGAAGCCGCCTATAATACCTGGTTAACTATAATTAAAACGTGGCCATAATATTTCCAAAGTATAGATATTTGCAAGAAGAGTCCGTTTTCTCGAATAAGGCTAAGCTTGAGACCATTTAAGCTTGGGTTAACGCGTGTATAGTAACCCCAAAGTTAAGAGGTGCTTTTAACTGATGTTTGCGGGAAACAAACAAAGACGCTGTAGAGCAAACGATCAACTATTGGATACGCATGCGGTGGTTACCCGAGCTCGTAGGCAACGTAATGTGAATGCTTCCACCCCACTTGAGATACAGCGGCGAAAATGGACTGACCTATTAAATTCATAAATTAAATATGCAGCCTTATAAATTTGAAGGTTTTATTATACGATTTTATTTCTGAATCGGCGACGTCTTTAATTTGAGCACGTTTTTTCCGTATTTGAACGCATTTTTCGTTATGAATTCACCGGGCTTCTTAAGTTTTAGATCAAAGATGCTACAAATAGGTTTGTGAAATGTGTAACATTGATTCATCCAGAATCATTTCTACAAGAAACACTTTGAATGATAATTTAAAAATAGCTATTGAACTTTTAGCTTCCGTGATTCGTATACATCCATTCCAAATACTTAACAGACGATCTAAAAGCAAATTTACTGACGCGAGATACTATTACTATTGATTTCCCCAAATATTCTCTTAAAATTTTAACAAATAATTGCTATGAATGCTAACGCATATTGTTTCGGTTTGGTTGTAACATATGATGGTCGGTCTGATTATATATAGTAGTCTTCAGAAGAAAAACTTGTATAAAAATCGGTAAAATAATTGACGCATGATGTCAAAATACCTCCAATGCTTAGTCACAATAGTAATATAACGTATAGATAATATAAATAATAAATTTTATACAACCTACCCTTAACTACCGAGGAATGATCACATATCTATGTGAGTAGAGTGGGTAGGCAGTCCTTTACAGAGAGCTAATAGTGAACGGACTAGAAATTCATCCGCCCATTTCAAAACTAAACATTTCTTTTGTGCAGATATTAAAACTGCGCTAACAGTACAATTATTTAGCCTACTCTTCCATTACTCATTTTCTTTCTTTGATATGACAGTTTTCTCGACTGACTGTCTTGGATTAACTGAAATGCCATTCAAATATAATTGAGTTTTACAAACTGCGTATTATGTGTGGGCGATGCCTTTTCTAAAGAATTTTGTGGTTTTTACTTTTGATTTAAGTGCTGTATAGTCTGCAGTTACGAAATGTGTTATCATTTTTCACAGGATTACACTCGGTAACTGTATGGGTCTAGGGGAAAGACCGTACAGCCCACCATGGTGGGGGCAGCTGGCTTGGTTCATAGTCTTTGCCGTGATGTTACTTCTTGCTGTAATTGGAAACACAATGGTCATATGGATTGTTCTAGGTAAGTATAATACGTATAATAATCGATAGATATCAAAGCAATAAAATATATTAATCTCAGATAAAAAACTTTGACTTATTGTTAGATGTTATAGAAATACTCGTCATGTATTTAGTTAGATGAAAAGTAAGTAAGCATGAACCTGATTTATGAATAGAAAAATATTTCATGGTTTATTAAAAAGCTCATTAAAAAATGAAATGTACACTAGTTACTATTATATTTAAATGGAATTGATTATTTCTGTCTCTTTAGACATTTGACAGGGTAAATGCTGATTAGAGAACCGAAAAAATTACAGGGATGTTCGATGAAAGAAAACGAGCTAAAGGCATTCTGAAAGAAATTCACAATTACTTTCAATGCTAAGAAACGGTTATAGCTTAATTAGTGAATTGCTAAAGCTAAATGTTAAATGCTTAAAACAAATTAATTTTGTTTCAAAATTGTAGTTATTATTTTAATATTAAAAATGATAGCTTAAATTCTTCTATCAACGACTCGTGTAAGCTAGGAAAAATAATTGACAACAGTTTTCTATAAACTATAAAAAGTATACGTTTTTACAACGCTTGTATGATAGAAAATTCCGTGACTGAAATTGACTAATCCTAACAAATAACATTTTATGGTATGAGTAATCTAAGTCCATTGTTGCGACGCCAGTTAAAGTTTTTTTTTAATTATCGTAAGTTTTAAATTAATGTCTTTCAATTCTTTTTAAGGGAGTTTATGACCTGGTAACTAAGACTTTAAGTCATGTTATTATAATAATTTATAACCTTATTTTTATGAAAAATGATAATATGGAGTGAAATGAAATGAAATGAAATGAAGATGATTAATTTGGGACATTAATCAATTGGGATGAAATTAAATGAAATGTGATGAAATAATATGGGATGAAATATAATCGCAGTAAAATGGTGGTCATTTACTGAGATTTTTTCAGTGGACTTTTTGGGGGATCCCGAGAAGTTGCGTCCAGCGGTTTTGTGTCATTTTCCTACATTTGTGCACTTTCACAGATATTAAACGGTTAATAAACCACCGTCATTAAACATTTAAACCTGAAGAAACACTAAATAGATAAAATAAAACAAATCACACAACTTCACTCCTCGCGTTCCCGCCAAAAAGTCCAAAGTGTTTCAAGATTGTTTTAAATTTAAGATTAAGAACAAATAATATTTATTCGTTTTATAATATAGTGACTAGTTTTCCGTTTTACCCATATAGTTTGACTAAAGAAGTTTTGAGGCGAATTTCTACTTTTTTGTTTGTAGAATTACTGGATTTTTCCTTGTTAAATTTACGCGAGATCATTCCCCTTTCACAGTCGCACCCTAAAAATCTCTAGATTCATTTTGTATTCAGAAAGCTTAACGTCGATCTCAATAAACTTTACTTGTACACCACAGGGACAGTACTTTTATGAATCCAGCTGTTGTTCGACTACACAATCGAGTTGAAAGTTAAAAACTTTTAAATTTAACTGAATATGAAAAATTTAATAAAACGTGAAATTTTTTAAATTACAAATCGTATTGTGTGCTTGAAATGGCAATTCATGTGTACTTTTCATCTTAAATAGTGATTTAAAATTGGCAACGTATCTATGATTACATCTTTATTTATTGAAATCATTGTTACTTAATTTTTTTATTGCTTAGATGTGTGGACGAGCTCTCAGCTCACCTGGCGTTAAGTGGTTAGCCCATAGATATCTACAACGTAAATGCCGCCACCCACCTTGAGATATTAGTTCTAAGGTCTCAGTTTAGTTACAACGGCTGCGGCCACCCTTCAAACCGAAACGCATTACTTCTGCACGGCAGAAATAGGCGGGGTGGTGGTACCTACCCATACGGACTTACAAGAAGTCCTACCTACCTGATGTTATTCCTTCACCGTGCAAGTCAATCTTGAAGATTTCTTAAGTGCGTATTTCATTAGAAAAATAGGTACCCGCCTGCGGGATACGAACACCGGTGCATCGTTAGATACGAATGCACCGGACATCTTATCCTTTAGGCCACGACGACTTCAGACTTAAATTATAAAGATCCACTAACCACTTGATCCCTGGCAGATGTCAAGCTTGTCCTCCCACAGAATGTAATCAGAAAGTTTCCAAGCTTATGCGACCCTATTTTTATTGAATAACGTGAGTGCTGGCAACCTAGCTTTTTAAATTGAATGACTTTTTGGTGGAGTAGTTAGTGCTCTAACTACTGGGCCGAGAGTCATAGGTTCGATTACTACATCAGGCAAACATTTATGTGATAAAAATATTTGATATGCATTTTATTATACTTAAACATACATGTATAAGTATGTATATGGGCATCAGTCTCTAGTATAGTTCATAGTATAGCTTGGAATCAGATGACCGTGTGTGACTTGTCCCGCGATTATATTATTATTTTCATTAATATTATAAATGTGAGATAATGTGAGATTACTTTGATTTTCGAGCTCTATCAAACGTATAATTATTTCCATTCTTAATGGTGATTAATACTCTTGTTGACCTTAGTTCAAGCAAACCATAAGACGCTTTATTGATTGATATTCACAACAAAGCGCAGTAGAAATTTAATATTTTGCTGAATATATCTATGACGACAGTGAGGATAGTTGAAACTTTGACCCCTAATATATTGTGTGGAAAGGGAATTTAATCGATTTTATTTACGCTAAAAGCTTTTTTTTCCAGTACGGTAAGAGACACAATCGCGAATCAACTAAACACTTCTCATATCCGTGGATTTTTTTTTATAAAAGTCTGTTTTTTATTAATACGCTTTTATTAGCTTCAGACTGATGTATGTTAGTATGTTCGGAACGGAGAACGGAATCTTTGAACATGATTTTGACCCCCTTCAAAACGTCGGATTAACTCGAAATTTGGTATACTTATTAAGAACCGATGACAATTCAATATTTTAAAAAAAATTGAAAAAAAATTTACTAAAAAATGAAATATAAATAATAGTTTAAAAAAACTAACAAAATATAGGGTGCTTGGTATCATAGTTATAAATATTTTATGAACAGATATAAGTAGAAGGGTTATTTTGATATTATCCTGAAAGCACCCCACGCTTTTTTTACAATAAAATATTTTTTTCTTAAACTATTTTTAATTCAAATTTATTAATTTATTTATTAATTCATTTATTTTCTACTTTCTAGCTGGATTTTCTGTAAAAGCGTATCTTGTTAAAATATTTTTTTTAAACTATTATTTATTTCTGGATAACTTAAAACATCGCCATGATGTATTTATTATAAATCTGTCTTTTGTTTCAGCACATCGCCGAATGAGGACCGTAACGAATTGTTTCCTTGTGAACTTGGCCGTAGCAGACCTCTTGATGGCAACCCTCAACGGAGCTCCGAACTTCGTATTCCTGGTGACGGCTAACTGGCCCTTTGGAGCCGTGACATGCACTGCGAGTAACTTCACAGCAAGCCTGACCGTGTCAGCGGGCGTATTCACGCTCGTGGCCATAACAGTTGACAGGTTTGTTTTAAGCACCCAAAGTTTTAAAAAAAGATGTTTGGTGACAAATTAATAGTGCCTTTGTACATAATTTTCCTATTACTCTGTACTGTGTCTTGTTTTCTGTGTGTAGATAAATAAATAAATAAATAAATAAATAAATAAATAAATAATATATACCACAAACAATGATCATTGAAATCGGTTGGCGTGATATTGAGTTATTGAGTTATTTATCTATTTGTCGCGCACGTACTTAATGCAAATTTAAGGCTTAATGGTTTTCTCATGGATACCATAATCAGAACTAGACTAAATTGAAATGAGAACACACGGAAAGCGTCAGATTTCTAGTAAAAAAAGAATCATCAAAATCGAGTCACTTAATCAAAAGTTATGAAGTAACAAACATAAAATCTTATGTTACGGACGTTTTTTTCCGGTTAGGGTACCCCTTGGCATCGTCCCATAAAGAACTTCGTTCCAAAAACGAATATTAGGACCGCTTGTGGTGAGTCCGCGTAGATACAACCACCCTACCTATTTCTGCCGTGAAGCAGTAATGTGTTTCGGTTTGAAGGGTGGGGCAGCCGTTGTAACTATACTTGAGAACTTAAAACTTACATCTCAAGGTGGGTGACGCATTTACGTCGTAGATGTCTATGGGCTCCATTAACCACTTAATACCAGGTAGGTTGTGAGCTCGTCCAGCCATCAAAGCAATAAAAAAAAATTAATAACCCATAAAGACTACAACGTTATGACTAGTGTCTTTATAACACTATTAATCGTCGAAGTCATTAATCTTAACTTAATTTACTTAATTAATTAACTAACTAGAAGGTATTTTACAGTGCTCACTGAACAGTATTTCAACAAAATACTTTTGATATTTGGCTCATAATATAAATAATGTGTATATAAGACAATAATGTACTGAGCAAATAAATGGATTTAGAGTTATGAATATTAATAAGCCGATGATGTGTGTTTTTGTTCGTGATTTATGCAATCATGTATTTTTTATTCGATTGAGCTAAAAGTTTGTTCAGCTCTCGTTGGGACTAGCAGAAGCTAGTGATTTTAAAATAGAACCATTTAGGTAAAAACGTTATACATAGTTGGCGTACCATCCGGTGAATTTCATACATTTATCCATATTCACAGTGGAAAGCCTTCGTGTTACAATAATCTATGTTAAAATTTAATTTTTGTAGCATCGATGTCATGTAATACTTTTGTCACGAATACAAATGAATAATAGCTAAACATTAAAAAAATTATGCCAATAAAAACTATTTGACAGGTTAATACTTGTCTAATAGTTTCGAGTGACACATCTTTCTATATAATATTACTAGCTGACCCGGCAAACATTGTTTTGCCATATATAAGATTTCAAGGGAATTTCTAGTGTAAAAAAAAAAAAACTAACTTATTGTAAGTGTGTAAGGATGTGGTAAATGAGTGAAAGAGGTATGTAGTGCTGTGAACGATGAGGGAATATATAATAAAATAACAAAACCTCATTCAACCACATAATACCTCATTATAACAAAAAAAATGTGCAAATAAAAAAAATATGTTAGGGGTGGACAACCCTAATCACTTAGGGGTATGAAAAATAGATAGTAGCCGATTCTCAGGCTTACTGAATATGCATAAAAAATTTCATGAGAATCGGTCAAGCGGTTTCGGAGGAGTATGGGAACGAACATTGTGACATGAGAATTTTATATATTAGATATTATACACTGTTGGTAAATGAATATCATATAAATGTTTGATGAACGGTTCTGTGACATAATTCTAGAGAACAATTTTTACCACGAATATAAGCATCTTATTCAATTTCATCAAATAAAATTCAGTATCACAATGACTGAGTTGTAATAAGTGTTTTTCTCAAGATTACTTCCTCAACTCCTCTCTCTAAAGCTTTGTTCGTCTTATAAAGTATACTTTCGACTTATGCTAGGATTGTTGTAATATGTATGAACGTCTTCTTACATTTTCATTGCTTCTTTTCATTATGCTGTAAATTGGGAATGTATTATGTTAAAGGACCATGGAAGAGTGCAACACACTCATGTCTCAAAGTGGGTGGCGGTATTTACATTGTTGATACCCATGGGCTCCGGAAACTACTTAACATTCAGTGGATCATGAACTTATTCAACCATTTAAGCCATAAAAATAAAAAAATAAAACCAAAAAAATCAGTGAATGAAGAAATAAAAACAAATCAATATTATAAGAGAAATGTATGCTCGATGTAACAATCGTTGTGTTTCCATTGTTTTTGTTTTCATAGCATTCTATCGTTTCTTATATAATACATTTAAATAATACTAGCTGTACCCGTCCGCTTTGCTGGGCATTTAAAATTGACCTAATTATTTCTCAACCCCACAAAGATTCTCATAATTAACGTCCCCGCAATTGGTGTAGAGAGTACAACACTCATATAATTAAGTACATGTATTTTCTACATGGATACCAAGTTTCAAGTTAATCGGATGCATGGTTCAGTAGTTATAACGGAACATCCGTAAAAAGCACTGTAGATTTATATATTTGTATAGACTAGAGGTCCCGCAGTAGTCGAAATTCGACTATAATTAATTGGAATTGTAAGTTTGTACACTATTATGATTTTATTTTATACTTCTATAATCACAAATTTCGCCAAGACTACAATTTTAAAAATATTAACAAAGACAAACAATATTTCATCTATTCTCAATTTGACAACAGACGTCAAGAACAAAAGTTTGACAACAAATAGTATGCATGCGTGTGTGCGTCAAATACATGGTATGTAGTGTGTGTAATGTTTTCTTTATTGATTTAATGTAATGTACTATCTTAAAAATATTAGCATTGTGCACTTCTTCTCTATATTCTCTATAAGTGTGGAAAATTTCATACTCCTCCGTCCGCGCAATTTTCGTAAAAAGGGATACAAAGTTTTTGCTTCACGTATTAATATATAGATAAACAAATCGTTTACTAATTTGTCGATAACACATAAAGTGCCAGATTATTATTCATTCTAATTCTAATTCTAATAAATTATCAGCATCAAAAGTAAAATTAGTTTTATGAACAGCTAATCAACTGTACATACAAATCTAGAAGCCTGCAAGTTTATTGTTTCACGCTGACTAGCATTACGGAAACTCATAAGTTAATCTCCGTCTGTGCGAAGCCTCGCCCTAACTAGCACTGAATATCGTAACATAGTTCAGCTCAACCACCTGATCTCATGTAAAGTGTTTATTAAATTCACGAGAAGCGCCCGCTGCTTCATATCCGGAAACACATTACCTCTTACACGTAGTACCTCAAACATAAATTATTTTACGAGTACCTGCATTCACAATTTATTCCCAAACACACCTAAGTACCTACGAGACCTTCGCGTGGACCGATTTCCTCTCCCGTTAACTTTCTTATTTACTTAACTCGTAATTCATACTATCAGGACCGTTTTTCGTGACGAAGGTTCGGTAAAAAAAAAAAACTTGTTTTCAGTTTCACTCGAAAGATTTTGAAGAAGTTGAATAGATTAATTTTTCTATTAGCTTATATGGGCAGGCAGTTGTCAAGTATTAACTGAAGCTCATTGATATCAGGACGTGAATGCTGTTTGTTACTCTTCAAACTGGAATGCATGATTGCTTAGAATTAGTCGTGGTCTAAAGGATAAGACGTCCGGTGCTTTCGTATGTACATCGGTGTTTGAATACCGACGGCAGATACCAATTTTTCCAATGAAATACGTACTTAACAAATATTAGGACATGTATATATAAGTAAGGGAATAGCATCGTGTAATAAAAATCAAATCCGCAAAAATTATAATTTGCGTAATTACTGGTGGTAGAACGTCTTGTAAAGTCTGGGCGGGTAGGAACCACCACCCTGCCTATTTCTGTTGTGAAGCAGTAATGCGTTTCGGTTTGAAGGGCCGAGCAGCCGTTGTACTGTTAAAAGTAAGACGCACATATTTATTGTACCAAACGAATTTTCCTAAAGGAGTCGGGCGCACAACAGTCGAGCGATAATTCGTTTTCATTGTATTCGCTAAATTCGATAAATTAAACCTGCTGAAACGGGAATGTATTTATATCCGATACAATTTCAATGTGGAATACCTTTCATACATTTTACCATTACATTCTCAATCTTGACATTCTCTCAACAATAATTATATGAAAAATAAAACGTATAATTTTCTATTTTTCTAAAGGAAGCCACATATTACAGGTGGTACCGGCCTTGCCTATTTCTGTTGTGAAGCAGTGATGCTTTTCGTCTTGAAGGGTAGGACTGCCGTTGTGCTATAAAAACTGAGACTTAAAACTCATGTTTCGTTGCCCACTGAGTTTCTCGCCGGATCTTCTCAGTGGGTCACGTTTCCGATCCGGTGGTAGATTCTGCGAAGCACTGCTCCCGGTTAGAGCCCAGTCAGCTCACCTACACGTCAAGGAGAAGCTAAAATAGCCTCTCAAGACTATCAGCTTAGGTAGGGGAAAAAAAACATTTCTTAAGGTGTGTGGCGGCATTTACTTTGTTAACGTCTCTGGGCTTCGGTATTACAGACTGAATACTCAACGACGGAGTTATGTTCTGGGTCAGAGCTCTATTAAATATATTTTTGTTTTTCGGTTGAGTAATGGCGTAATTGTTTGTTTCGTACGAAACGCCACAAACACAGTAAAATTTTCTAGATTTGGACTTTCAATATGAAAATTTGATTTACGTAAATATATTTTTCTTTTTTCTTTTTTTTTATTGCTTAGATGGTTTTCGATTGTTTAATTCAATTTAATTGTAATTCAATTGTTTCATATCTATCTATATATATATATATATATATATATATATATATATATATAAATTAATTGCTGTTCGTTAGTCTCGCTTAAACTCGAGAACAGCTAGACCGATTTGGCTAATTTTGGTCTTGAATTATTTGTGGAAGTCCAGACAATGTTTAAAAGGTAGATAAATAT